TCCAAAAGTTGGAGAGTCCCTAAGTCTTTTCATATACTCAGTATTGAAAGCTCTCCTAGGTTATCTGGATTTTTATTTGCATGGGACTTTCTTTTCCTTGCTGCAGCATTGGCTCTTTGGATTGGAATCTGGTCCTCTATTGACAGATTTTTTTTTTTTTTTTTTTTTTTTTTGTGAGGCCATGGCACAGTGGATAAAGGCATAAGTTAGATCCAGTGACAGGACTTAAAGAGCGTGAGTTCAATACCCGGTTAAGGTAGTGGAGAACTTGGAGAGGGGAATTAACAGCAGATAACTGACAACTGACATCCATTAAATATGGCATGTGGAACTAGAACAGTCTACCCCAGTGAGTGAAATAAAGGGCTCAGTTTGACATTCCAACCACTTGAAGAAGGCTGGTGTGTACAATGGCCGAAACGTTGTAATAAATATGGCAACAAAGATGAGGACAATAGTCCGAATAATGTAAATAGTGTACATAATACCTCATCTCAGAAATATAGACAGACATTATTTACATATTTATATTCAGACTATTCTCCTCATTTTTGTTGTTCTTATCCCCTGATTGCCATCTGTCTGAATATCTGGGATGAGGAGTTATCATTATTTACGCTACTTATATTCGGACTATTATCCTCATCTTTGTTGTTCTTATCCCCTGTCTGAATTTCTGGCATGAGAAGTTATTATTTACACTATTTATATTCAGACTATTATCCTCATATTTATGGTTTTTATCACATTTCAGACATTGTGCACCCTGGCATTCCCCAGGTGCATATATTGATCGGCCTACTAAGGAGGCCCTCATTGCCTAGCATATGCACTGATTTTTTTCAGATGTCTAACTCTCCAGTGACCTTTCTTGTCCAGTATTTTTACTTCATCCCACAGGAATTGTTTGTTGTATATTGTGTTGCATACATGCTCAATGGGGTTTGGTATAAATTTGGTGAGTGAATAATCAATAAATAAGCAGTCAATATTCCTGGAGCCACTTTTGTTTCACTTGCGCACAATGGTGGTTTGTGTTAGTTTATGTAAATAAAAACAGTGATATTTATCCACAAATGCAGGAAACCTGATACTTCTAATCAGGTTACATACCACCAGTTTTTCATCATCTAATGTTAATCTTCCATGGCAAGGCAACTAATCACCATCAGTTACAAGAACTGTTGTCGTTATAGTCTTGCCCGCACATCTGATCACCTGACAAATTCTTTCCACATATCTGGATTGAAAGCTGAAGATGTATTAATTTGTGTGTCTTGGGCAAACTGACCTGGCGGATCCCATCCCTCTCCAGGTCAAACCACAGTTGATATCCTTCAAACTAGAATGCTTACATGGATGTGCATGTGGCTGTTGATACCAATGGAGGAATACTCCACCCTGGACATTGGCTTCAATCTAGAAAGTGCACCACCATTGGTTAAACAACAGTATGAAAAAAAAAATGAGATGAAGCTGTCTAGTCATTGAAAGACTGATGGAGGGTCATGGCTTGATGCTTATACTGTTCAGATAACAGCCATATCACATTGAAACACTGCCTCTTGTCCGAGCACTGAATTAAGCAACATTGAATCTGGTCAGTACCTAGATATTTGAACAGTAAGATGGTGAGACCTTCACCCTTGTGTAAATTAATTGAAACAACCACTTTATTTTTTTTTCTTTCACCATATGGTTAGTTTTAGGTGCACTGGAGTGACGGGGTGTAATCGATTTCTATTTTTTTCCTCAGATTAGGTCATTTGCAGTGGTGTGCAGTAATATGAATCTATTTTCATGGTGCATGATGTAATTTGTTTGGCCTTGAAAAATATTGTGCTATCCGTGATTGCATCAGATTTTTATCTAGTCCAGACACTATTGTTTTGACTGTTGATTAGTTGTCCTATGGTCATTGTGTGCAATGGACATTACTCCAAGGAAGCGTATGAAAATTGTAATGCTGCACGAACCCAATGGCAAGCCTTATCAGTGAACAAATCAAAGTACTATAGACTGGCCCAGAAACTCTCCTGATTTAAATCCAATTGAGAATCTGTGGTCAATCTGCAAGGAATGACTTCATAGAATGGACATCTGAAGTAGTAACGTGTGCACTGGGTCATGTTTCATTTGGAAATATGAAAAAAAGGTAAATAATAATGGAATTATTCATTTTGTTTTAATTGCACAAGGGTGTAATTGCTAATCTAGTTTTCTGTGTAAATTATCATTTTTTTCTTTGCTTTATGCTTTTGCAACTATTTAATTCAGTAACCCTTTATCTTGAGTCATACTTGGACTTTTTATTGGATGAACAGCAGTATGAAAAAACATGAGATGTAACTGTCTAGTCATTGAAAGACTGAAAGGTCATGGATGGATGTTTATAAAGACTGTTCAGGTAAGAGCCATATCACATTAAAATACTGGTTCATGTCCAAGCACTGAAGTTAAGCAACATTGAACCTGGTCAGTACCTAAACTGCTGGAGTATACCCGGTGCTCTAAGTATAGATGTGTGGGTGGTGTAACTGATAAAATGCTCAGAATGGGAACTCAGAGAGCCAAGTTCAAATTCCAGTCAGGTGTGTTACTTACATGCAAATACTCTTGGGAAAGAAATGAATTCACTTCTCCTGCCAGCTATAGATTAAATAGTAAGACTTGTATCAGTAAGTCATTATTATCTCCTAAAAACTGGTACAGTCCCAAAATATGTCTTGGCTTTAAATAACGTCGAAAAGGTTGATTAGCCATAAAAACAGCAATCACTATGACCTTAACTGTTTCTAGTCTAAGGTCACACATTATCCATCCTACATATAGAAAGTTGGTTCAGTGTGTCGAGCCAGATAATTTTTCTCAACAGAATCTGTCTTTCACATTTATAAATGAGTATATGACGAGGATGAGTATCATCCTCGTCATATATAAATATATGACGAGGATGATTCAATAAGTTTGTAGTTGTCCTCATTTTTGTAGTGATTATTACAATGTTTCAGCCATTGTACACTCTGGCCTTCTTCAGGGAATTTCAAACTGAACCTCTTTAATCAACAACTAAAATGGATATCACTTGTAAGTTGAAGAAAAAATAATGACATAAGCTGTTGACACTCTCCACTACTTCAAACAAAAGGTTAGGAAGAAAACACCTATTAGTCTAAAAAGAGCAATAACAGTTAATGTATTTGAGAAAACTGTTTTCTGAAAAAAATTGTTTCAAGTGAAAGGTTCCATAAATTCCAACCAAAAGTAACACTGGCTGTTGAGTCAATCATTGCTGAATGTTTCCATATAAGGAAACTGTTAATATTACAATTACCATTGAGGGGAAATTTTTCATTCCATTGTTCATGTCTAAAGTTGTCTTGTTCGTTTTTAGTACTGCTCAATTATAGCTTGCCCAGTTTTTAAATTTTGTATTTCTCAACCAAGGGATTGAATTCACAATTACTACCTTTTTAGGTACCTAATACAAGTGAGGGAGTGTCTTGGGATGGGGTCTGGAATTTTTCTTAATAAATAATAAATAAAATCATTAAAAAGTCAAAAATGAAAAATTAGTAAATCAAGTTGTCTTAAACTTTGAGAGCTTGAAAGTACCCCCCACACACACACCAAAATAGATATTTCCTCGCTTTTATTAGGCATCCAAAGAGTCTGCCTTCAAATTCAATCCAACACTGTAATTTATGAGAGCAAAGATAAGGTCAGCAGTTCGAATGTTGATTTTGATAACATCCCTTTTGATAACATAATTTCAGAAATTCAGACTAGTCTGGATCTTAAATTTCATTCAATTTATGTGTTTGATATTCACCAGTGGGTTGGTGGGGAGGGGATTATTACTTGAAAATTACTTGTGTGTTAAAAAAAAAAAAAAAGGGCCTTGTTTTCATCATGAGGCTTTGGACGTATTTACAGGCCCACATATAATTGATTTTCCTCTTTTCCAGGACAACGACCAAAAGATGGTTTTGTTTTGTGCACAACAACCCTATTTTAGTTGAATTAAAAAGAGTCCCATCTGGAACAAATACAGAAGCTGTTCTGTGAAAATCTCATTAAAAATGTTCTCTCTCTTTCTCTTTTTTTTTTCTCTCTCTTAAATTTACTCTCTCTTTTACTTTTCTCTCTTACTTTTTTCTTACTTTCTCTCTTTTTTTCTCTCTTTTTACTTTCTGTCTCTTCTTTCTCTTCTTTCTGTCTCTTACTTTTCTCTCTGTCTCTTACTTTTCTCTTAATCTCGATCTCTCTTTCTTTGTTTTCTGTTCTTACTTTCTCTTTTTCTCTCTTTTAATCTTTCTCTTCTTTTTGACTTTCTCTCTCTCTTAAAAAAAATTTCTTTTTTTCTCTCTCTCTCTCTCTTCTTTTCTCTCTCTTTTTCTCTCTTTTTTTTCTTACTCTCTCTCTTACTTTTCTACTTTCTCTCTTTTTCTCTTTTCTTCTCTCTTTCTTTCTTTTCTTTCTTACTTTTTCTCTTTCTCTTTCTTTCTTTCTCTCTCTCTTTCTTTTTTTTCTTAGAATTTCTCTCTTTCTCTCTTTCTTTCTTTCTTTCTCTTACTCTCTCTTTCTTTTCTTTCTCTTCTCTCTTTCTCTTTCTCTTCTCTTTCTCTCTTTCTTTTCTCTTTCTCTTTCTTCTTTCTTTTCTTTCTTTCTCTTTCTCTTTCTTTCTTTAGGCTGAACATATAATTGGTGTATGTTTTTTTGGCACTTATCAGATTTGTCCGCCTCCCACAACTCCTCCTGCATATAATAAAACTCTCAAAGACATTTATCTATCTATCTACCACAGTAGAGAAGAATAACAAACCTTAATTCTTGTTTTCACACAAGACCATTCAAAAGATGAACACTTTTTATGGAGATGTTGGCCAACCTTGAAGACACACCCTTCAACAAATCGTCTTTTCTTGACCAACTCTTACAGAGGAAGCATTTAAATTGGGAAATAAATGCACATACAATGCAGCTTACAACTGTATCACATTGAAACACCAGTTCTTGTAAGATCAGTGAAGTTAAGCAATATCAAGCTGGCTCAGTACCTAGATGGGTGACCACATGGATATACCAGGTGGTGTAATGGATAACGCTTCAGAAATGGAAATCTAGGAGAGCTGTGTTCCAATTCCAATTGGGTTTGTCATATTTACTGATGTGCAATAACCTTTTGGGAAGGTTCCAATATATGCTGGGAATGATTGCAAAACACTCCCCCTCCCCAATTTATAGGCAGAAGCACACAAATGCATGCTGGGATTTCTTCCTAGCCAATAAAATAGACCAGTTCTCAGTTTCATATGACTCAGTCCCAGTCTGTCTTGTCTTGAAGCCAAAATGCTGCATTCCCTTGTTTGAATTTGCTCTTGTGTGTCAACCTCAATTCTTAGTTTGTGAACATTTTGCCATATTACTGTTTAATTTAAACAATCTAACCAAACCTAAAATTTTTCTTATCTTTTTCTCTAGCTCTCATATTCTATTCATGTCTATGCTTGGCCGGCATAGGAGATTTTTGTGGCTTAGCATATGTGCTGATTCTTTAAGTTTTCATATTTTCCAGTGATGTTCTCTCTCCTTTAAAAATTGTTTATGTATGGCTATATAAGATGGACTGGTTTTAATGGTTCAAATTGACAGATTAAATAAGCTATTTAAAATGAATCGTAGCTACCAAACTGAGACCCTCCAACTATAAGTGGGGGGAAGTGAGTGTAATATATAATATGCATTCACCTGATTGGCATAAAATGATCTATCAGAATTGATGTTTGAGTTGGCATCACTATTTTATATATTTTTAGGCTGCAAGTCAAGGTAAATTATGGAGGATGCTAAGTCACATAATTTAATGTCTAATAAATGACTATAAATAGACTGTAAACATGTTAAGTAACTAAAAGAAAAGAATCAAATTTAAAATATACAATACATAATTTTATTTCTCAAGCTGAAATACTATTAATAATATTTGCATTATAAAAATAAAAATAATTCATCACTAGCATTTACTCACTTTTGTTTATTAGACATTAAATTATGTCCCTTAGCACCTTCCATAATTTACCTTGATTTTCAGTTATTGTGAAGTATATTCATGAGCGTTTTAAAATTCTGAAAACTGATGACATTTTTTACTTTTGTTTATAAATATTTCTTTTAAAATAAGATTTGCCTTGATAAAGTCTATCAGAGGGTGAAACACGTCAGTTATGATAAATTTTCTTTTAGTCTTTATTCATATTGTCTTTTTACAGATATAGTTTGAGTTACTGTATTTTTTCCTAAAAAAAATACACCGAAAAATGTGTGTGCATCTTTCAAGATGGATATAAGGCAATGCCCAGGCTCAAGTAAGGGATGTGGATTTGTATGTTGAGTCATTACGCTATAATGTTAGCTCTCAGTCTAATTCAGCCTTTTATATGATGTAACCTCAGTACTTAGCTGTTACAAGTATTTCCAAGACTATAAACCTTCCTGGAGCCGAGCCACAAATTTAAACATGCTCTGTTTATTATCAACAGTGGGAGCCTTTCTACTCTTGATTAGTATGTCATTGCCATACAAACAAAATCGGATGAGTGATTAATGTAAATAATGTGATGCCTGTATGTGAGGAACGCAGGGTGAATGTGTTGTTGTATGAGAAGGATTTTTTTTTTTTTTTTTTTTTAGAAATTTCTTCCCAATATTAGTGAGTGTCTTCCAAGTCACAGCATCTTGTAAGTCGGAAAATTCAGTATATCTGAATTTTTACACAATATACAGTTGCATATAAAGATATTTTTCTAATAGCCATTTTAGTCTTTGACTGGTGATGTTATCCGTACAAAGTCCAATTAAGGTCTTAATGTTTGAGGAAATCAGTTCTTGTCAGCTGTGTAATTTCTTTCTCATTATTTTCTAATGACAGTCTTATGTGTAACTTCCTACAGAAACTGATAAGTTTTCAGCCATTTTGATCATTGGTATCCCTCGGGAGGAATGGATCTAAAATTAAGTACAATACGGAAATGATATTCTGAGACTTTAGATTTGGATTTGACCAATTATTTTCAGCTGACGTCCTTCTTGCACTTGCCAGATTAATTAATGGCTTATTAACTAATGAACAAAGTCATCAAGTGCTTATCTGTATGATAATCTGGGAAGTGGTCATTTTGTAATCGAGTAGTTGGCTAAAGCTGCAATTAGCTAATGGTTTTGCAGTCTGACAGTTTGAAGTTGTTGTCCACCAGTGATAGTAGTTGATCAACAGAATCTACTTATTTACTAAATATTTACTCAACACGAGGCTCAAGAGCCCCTCAAAGTAGGACACTGACTAACCATTTTGTAATGGGGTGCTTGGCTAAAGCTGCAATTAATGGTTTTGCAGTCTGAGAGTTTGAAGTTCTTGTCCACCAAGTATGAAACTATTAATAGTGGTCAGCCAACAGTACACTGGAATCTATATATTTACTCAACACGAGGCTCAAGAACCACTCAAGGTAGAGGGACACTGATTGATCAACTTGTAATAGAATAATTGGCTGAAGATTCAATTAGCTAATGGCTTTGCAGTTCAAAGTTTTTATCTACCAGATATTAAACCATTGGTAGTAGTCAGTTAACAATACACCAGAATATATTATGATTACATATATATATAATTAAAAATTCGCTCAACACTAGTCACAAAAGCCACTCAAGGTAGGACACAGATTGATGATGTTGTATGGATGTAAGAGGAAGAAGTAAATGAAGATTATGAGGATATGTAGGATAGATAACAACTGACTCTTGTCTTGAAGAGGTTAAGATTGTAGTGACTAGGGAAACATCCACTAGTGATTTCTGGGAAGAAGTTGTTTGAGTGGAACTTCTTTCTTAGCAATCAGATATGAAGGGAATGAGGGTGATTTATAGTGTAAATGAGCTCATGTTCCTCTAACGTCGCTTGTACAACACCAAATACTTATTTTTCAATCCGCCATTCTTGAGTTCCCACACACGTCACCAACGTAAAAATCTTCCTTTCTCACTGCTTCAGCCCTCTTTTATCATACCAACATCATGGCTGACTTACCAATTAGCGTTCTTCGCTTTTGTCCTCAGTTTCCCAGTCAAATGGCATCCTCCTGTCTGACCAATCAGCACACAAGTTGCTATTGGTCGTACCATGCTAAGCTGTACAAAAGCCACCATTACAGAATATACACTTTTGGAATAATCTAAAGTGGGGAGGGGAGATTCATGTCATTTTCAAAGAACCAAAATGCCACTGCTACATGTCATATATTGAGGTAAGGAACTTATTTTTCTTTGCACCAGATGCAAGCCACTCTGACTCACTTGCTTCTACGTAATTGTTCACCACATGATTGAATCCAGTGGATATAGCAAGGTGGGCAGCTTTAGCTTGGCAAGAGATTTTCAGTCCTTCCTAAGTGCTTCATTTTAGTTACCTTAGCAAATTCATGCACACATTTTCTAAAGAATTAATGGATTTATTTTTAATCAGATCTTTTTTTATTATTTCCATTTAAAAATAATGATTGAACTTATATATTTCATTGGATAATATAGACATCCAATGGAAACTAAAACTGGAAATCTACGTTATGGTGGTTGGAAAGTGACTGAGGCTGAGATACCAGGTCAGGACCAATAATATTGCAGATTCTTGTTTGTATTTTATCAAAAATCTCTAAATACATAGCAGAAACACCAGACCAAATGTGATGAATGGAATACTGATGAATGTGTAAGAAAAATTGTCTACCATGACAATATGAGTGGTCTTTTCTAGCAACAAAAGAAAATGGAAAAGAAAATATATCGGGCCACAAAGACCCTAAATACTAAATCATTTCAAGCCTTATCAGGAGTACAACAAGGAAGAGGTGAGAGCTGCAGTCTATTTAATCTCTTCCAAGTCTATGCTCTGCACATATTCCAGCACAGATAGGAAGAGATGGGTGTGATTGTTGTGAGCAAGATATGTAACATTGATAGCAGATGTAACTCTAAAAGAAAATGATATAATCAAACAAAAGATTTGGAAGTAAGCCTCCTCCCTGTACTGGAGTAGCAATAACAGCTACTGGACTTAAGAAACCTATTTTCAAGAAAAATTATTTTCCTAGAAAGGTTTTGTAAATTTCAACCAATGGTAGCACTGGCTACTTGGTCAATGAATGCCAAATGTTTCCCTATAAGGAAAGAGCTAATATTATTATCAAGTCTGTAATAGCAGTCTTCAATGTATCCTTAGCATTGTGAGGCTTTTGATTTTTCTCTCTCACCCTTCCTATCAATGATGCCACAGTCAGATGAGAGCAGTACTGGGTCAAGTGGGTTCTACTGCAAAGATCAGTGTCCTGCAATTACAGCCACTCCCTTGATGCACGGCTTGACCATTGTGTCCAGCAGTTTAATGTAGGTGGTGGCATGAAGCATGAAGCTTCACATGAACAAACCAGGCTGTATCACATGACTCCTTGTTCATAATCACCACAGATGACATGAACTTTGTGTGTATCAATTGAAGTACCTTTTGTGGGATTCCTGTAAAGCCATCTGTTGTCCCACTTGTTTATTTACAAGAAACTATTTCTGAGTAGCTGTGGTTGGTACTGTTGCCTTTTGAGTTCAGGGGGAGAGGTATCAAATAAATGGTGAAGAGTCTTTTAATTTTCTCCAAAATTAAGTTACAAAGACTTTTCTTTTATTTTAAAAATTTTTTTTATAAGCATTGTTTGCCATCATGTAGTTTAATTAAATGTGGTCAGATTAGGCTTAGTCCTGCTACTTGTAACCCACTACAACCTGTTGCATGAGTGTGTGGTTGGCATCTAAACCAGCTCCCCACACTAGCTTTTCTAGTAGGGTGGAGAATAGTATGTTACTCTGCAGGACAAAAAACAAAACCTGTCAAAGTGTGGATGAGCTTCTTATAGAAGTGTGTGCGTGTGTGGTATGGAAGGCTAGGATGGGGTCTCAATCCTTGAATGTTAAATTTCCTGAGAGATGGTGTCTTGATAACAACACTCAGTGTACTTGCACGACTGTGAGTGTGAGTTGGGTATCAGGAATCA